CCGAGTTTTTCTACTCCGCTCACAAACTCGGTCGTAATTCTGTGGGGCATTTGTTGGCTCTGAATTCGTCACAGCCAAGCAAGAAAGCAACACTGGACACGTCATACCACTTATAATGTTTCATAGCTCTGGTTTACTAAGTCATCCAAATGGAGTGTCGTCTATGTACTTGGCTTACACCCCCAGTTACCAATAAATATAACCCCTCTCTCTATCTATCTATCTATCTATCTATCAATCTATCAATCTATCAATCTATCAATCTATCAATCATATCTATCTATCTATCTATCTATCTATCTCTCTATCTATCTATCTATCAATCAATCAATCAGTCAATCATATCTATCTATCTATCTATCTATCTATCTCTCTCTCTCTCTCTTTCATCTGTCTATCTGTCTACCTGTCTATCTGTCTATCTGTCTTTCTACCTACCTATCTATCCACCTATCTATCTATCTATCAATCTATCTAGCCATCTATCTATCTATCTATCTGTCTGTCTATCTATCTACCTACCTATCTATCTATCTATCTTTCTATCTATCTATCTCTCTATCTCTCCACCCATCTATCGCTCAAAACTCTCTCTATCTATCTATTTATCTATCTATTTATCTATCTATCTATCTGTCTGTCTATCTATCTATCTATCTATTTATCTATCTATCTATCTCTCTCTCTCTCTCTTTCATCTATCTATCTGTCTACCTGGCTATCTGTCTGTCTACCTATCTATCTATCTATCTGTCTGTCTGTCTATCTGTCTATCTGTCTATCTGTCTATCTGTCTATCTGTCTATCTGTCTATTTGTCTATCTGTCTATCTGTCTACCTGTCTACCTGTCTATTTGTGGTGCAGTGTCATTCAGTGCAATGTAGAGTAGTGAAATGTAGTGTGGTGTAGTGGAGTGTATCATGTCATCATGTCGCCGTCGGATATGTTTGGATCAAAGCATTTCGCCACTGGGTGTGCCACGATGAACATAAACGTTAACATCATGCTGACCCCTGTTAATATCATTCGCATGGCACCTATCTCACTAGAATTTACCAAAGAACATAAAACATCATTTTTTCGGGGTTGCGCTTCATCTCGCCTCGATGAAGCACAACCAAGTGCTTGGGAGCACAACCAAAGTCATTTATCGCACAAAAATGAGCTTGGTTGCGCCCCCAAACGCTGGGTTGCGCTTCATCTCCCCTCGATGAAGCACAACCTTGGAAAATGATATTTTTTTTATCTTCTTTGGTAAATTTATGTCTTCCAGACCATAGATTATTTTGCCTGTCGAAAAATTTGAAAGAAAGCGTGAAAAAACAAAAAATGTAACTCTTGTTTTATTTTTCCCTTTGAGCCTCTCCGTGTTTTTCCTTTCTTTTTTCTCCTTTTATTCTGCTTTTGTGTTTTTTAGATTTTGCTGCTTTGCTTTTTCGCTTTTCCGACGTTGATACTTTTTTCGTTTTTTTCGCGTTTTTCGCGAAGTTAGAATATGCTACGGTCTGGATGACATAAATTTACCAAAGAAGATAAAAAAATATCATTTTCCAAGGTTGTGCTTCATCGAGGCGAGATGAAGCGCAGGCGAGATGAAGCGCAACCCAGCGTTTGGGGGCGCAACCAAGCTCATGTTTGTGCGATAAATGATTTTGGTTGTGCGCCCAAGCACTTGGTTGTGCTTCATCGAGGCGAGATGAAGCGCAACCCCGAAAAAATGATGTTTTCTGTTCTTTGGTAAATTCTAATTCTAGTGAGATAGGTACCATACGAATGATAGTAGTAGTAGTCGTAGTCGTAGTCGTCGTCGTCGTAGTAGTAGTAGTCGTAGTAGTAGTAGTAGTAGTACTACGGCCAGGACGGATGTGCTGCCCGGGAAAGTGCGTTTTGACTCCGCAGGGCCAATGTTTTGTGAGATTCCCCGTGTCGTTCGTTTGGGCAAACGGATGACGAATTTTTCCCTCATTTCATCAACATCATCATCATCATCAGCATCATCAGCAACAACATCAACATCATCAACATCATCAACATCCCAATTGACTGTAAAGTTTAACGGGGGTGGGAGTTTACTATTCCCTAATACCCTTGTTGATCTTCCCAATTGAATGCAAAGTTTAACGGGGATGGGAGTTTAATATTCCCTAATACCCTTGTTGATCTTCCCAATTGAATGTAAAGTTTAACGGGGGTGGGAGTTTAATATACCCTAATACATTTGTTGATCTTCCTAATTGAATGCAAAGTTTAACGGGGGTGGGAGTTTAATATTCCCTAATACGCTCGTTGATCTTCCCAATTCAATGTAAAGTTTAACCGGGGTGGGAGTTTAATATTCCCTAATACCCTTGTTAGTGGGAGAACCTCCACAGAGTCAACCCCTAACTTGGTTGACCCTCTGGAGGCCCCTCCACCGGGTCCACGTATTCGGAGTTCGGAACGTACTTGTACAGAACAAAAAACGATACTTTATAACTTTATGCATACTTAGTAGAAATCACAAGGTCAACAACTAACCAAAAACATTAGTTTCTGTGGACCCGGTTGGACTTTATGTAAACTTGCTAGAAATCACAAAGTCAACAACTAACCAAAAACAATAGTTTCTGTGGACCCGGTGGGAGAGCCTCCACAGAGTCACCCCCTCACTTGGTTGACCCTCTGGAGGCCCCTCCACCGGGCCCACCTATTCGGAGTTCGGAACGTAATTGTACAGAACAAAAAACGATATTTTATGTATACTTAGTAGAAATCACAAGGTCAACAACTAACCAAAAACATTAGTTTCTGTGGACCCGGTTGGACTTTATGTAAACTTGCTAGAAATCACAAAGTCTACAACTAACCAAAAACAATAGTTTCTGTGGACCCGGTGGGAGAGCCTCCACAGAGTCAACCCCTAACTTGGTTGACCCTCTGGAGGCCCCTCCACCGGGCCCACGTATTCGGAGTTCGGAACGTACTTGTACAGAACAAAAAACGATACTTTATGTAGACGTGGCGGAAGCGCCTCCACAGCGTCAACAACTAGCTCAGTCGACTCCCTGGAGGCCCGTCCAACGAGCCCGCGTGCTGACAACACGGTATACCTACAAGAATAACGATTCACCAACAACAAGCACACAAACATTCCAGCTGCTTGGGTGAGCTTTTCAAACTCCAAAAGTTTCTTTCCAACCGATTCTTGTCCAAAATGCCTACCTTATACATCTAACGTTAGAAATCGGCAAACTCTTCAACGCAATTTCCACGAAGTCATGAATCCGCTTGTTGATCTTCGCAATTGAATGTAAAGTTTAACCGGGGTGGGAGTTTAATATTCCCTAATCCCCTTGTTGATCTTCCCAATTGAATGCAAAGTTTAACGGGGGTGGGAGTTTAATATTCCCTAATACCCTTGTTGATCTTCCCAATTCAATCTAAAGTTTAACAGGGGTGGGAGTTTAATATTCCCTAATACCCTTGTTGATCTTCCCAATTGAATGTAAAGTGTAACGGGCCTGGGCGTAGTAGTAGTAGTAGTAGTAGTAGTAGTGGTAGTGGTAGTAGTAGTAGTAGTAGCAGTAGTAGTAGTAGTAGTGGTAGTGGTAGTGGTAGTGGTAGTGGTAGTGGTAGTGGTAGTGGTAGTGGTAGTGGTAGTGGTAGTAGTAGTAGTAGTAGTGGTAGTGGTAGTGGTAGTGGTAGTGGTAGTGGTAGTGGTAGTGGTAGTGGTAGTGGTAGTAGTAGTAGTAGTAGCAGTCGTAGTAGTAGAAGTAATAGTAATAGTAATAGTAGTAGCAGTAGTAGTAGTAGTAGCAGCAGTAGTAGTAGTAGTAGTCGTCGTCGTAGTAGTAGTAGCCGTCGTAGTAGTAGTAGTAGTAGTCGTCGTCGTCATAGTAGTAGCAGTCGTAGTAGTAGAAGTACTCGTCGTCGTAGTAGTAGTAGTAGTAGTCGTCGTCGTAGTAGTAGTAGTCCTCATAGTAGTAGTAGTAGTAGTAGTCCTCATAGTAGTAGTAGTAGTCCTCATAGTAGTAGTAGTAGTCCTCATAGTAGTAGTAGTAGTAGTCGTCGTAGCAGTAGTAGTAGTAGTAGTAGTAGGAGTAGTAGTAGTAGTAGTAGTCGTCATAGTAGTAGTAGTCGTAGTAGTAGTAGTCGTCGTCGTCGTCGGCGTGCTTGCGTTACAAACAGTCGCACCTTCTCTTGCCTCTCCCTCCTGTCTTTTCCCCCCTACCTTTCGTCCCCCCCCTCTCAAGTGCCGTTTCTTGTTTCATCATTTTTCCATTGCCTGTTGTCCCGCTGGGTCATTTCTTGAAACCAATCATTTTGAAGACCCGCGAACATGTGGTGTTTTTCACATTTTGACTTCGAAATGTGCTTCGCGCCACAACGGCGTGCACTTTTTCGGCATCGCAACTCCCAAAAGTGGTCCGACACTGAGGTGTTTTGTACATTTTGACTTCGAAATGTGCTTCGCGCCACAACGGCGTGCACTTTTTCGACATCGCAACTTCCAAAAGTGGTCCGACGCTGGTGTGTTTTGTACATTTTGACTTGGAAATGCGCTTCGCGCCACAACGGCGTGCACTTTTTCGACATCTCAACTTCCAAAAGCGGTCCGACGCTGAGGTGTTTTGTACATGTTGACTTCGAAATGTGCTTCGCGCCACAACGGCGTGCAATTTTTCATCTCTCATCTGGCCAGCTGGCTCCGAACCCGCCGCTTTAGCAAGCCTACTTTTCGACCCTCCGGAGCCTCAAATGATTTTAAAAACACAGTGTTTTGCGACTTTCCTACCTTTTCGCGCATCTGCATCTTCTTTCTTCTGACTCTTTCTCTTCTACTCTTCTCTCTTCTAATCGTTCTCTTCTCTCTGCCTCTGCCCTGCTCTGCTTTTCATCTGTCCATATTGTCGGAAGTTTGACTTCTAAACTTCCTTCGATTAGTTGCTAATGAAAACGAGGCTTATTCACACCGTTTCTGTGGCCAAACGCCTTCCCCTCAGATGTCGATTCTGTGGTCAGGCGCGCGACCGTGTCATGCACGCCATGGCTCAGATGGGCTTGCAGCGTGAGGCGGGAGGACCCAGACCAAAGCCCAGCAGTAGGGAAGCCATGTAAGTTTTGTCCTTTTGGAAGAAGTATAAGACGTGTGGTTTAACCGTGATATAAGATATAGAATGATATACCTCAAAATCTTGGCATAGCAATCGGCATCGGTTTAAATACGCTTCTAGGGCCATTGTAGGGAGTTACGATTGAGGTGACCGTTCAGGTGATATGTTTCTATCCCTCGCTAAAGTTACTTTTCGATTTCTCAAGACTCGAAAGTAATGCTGAACCTGCAAAAAGAATACATGAAAGTTCGGTATCATAAGTTGCAATATAACCCCATTTTAAATCATGCTCAAATAAATTTCAAGAACTACGATTTGACCTTCGCAAAGAAAGGCGAATAGGGTCGAACCGGGAAATATATATGGCATTCGACCCGCAGGAGCTGGACGTCGCCTTCAAAAGGTGATTTTTCCAATGCATCTGCACGGGTTTTGATATGTTGTGATACTGTTACTGTGGGCATGGATATGTATGGAACATGTTTTTTTCGGAATCATAGGAGAATCTTTGTTGTTTCTCCTACCAAATTATCCATTAGTAGATACCCAATTTTGACCCATATACCTATTAAGACCCCGTCCCACCGCTGCTTTGAACATGTTTTAAAGCTTACCAAATTGGTTCCTTGATGCCGAACTGTTGGCCCATACATGGCCACACCCGCTTTGCACGGCTTTGTGAAACAATGGGGAATACCCATAATTTTTCAAGATGGAAAATGATATTCTCAACCATGCGATATCGAACATCACGTCTGCTCCCAAAGAAGAAACACCTCAGCGACTTGTGGCTAGCGACCTCAGTATGGAGGTCACCATAAATAATTGATAATAGCGGGCATCATCCCACAAATGCTTTGTTTCTGAGGCGGGAATCGCACCAGCTTGTCCAGACATATCAGATATATCTAAAAAGTGCAGAACATATTGTAATATGCGGAAAAACTGTGGAAAACATGGAGAAACACAATCATGTTCCCTTCCAGAGGTAGAGGTCACTTTTTGATCTGCCATTCACCAGGCAGATCGGAGACCACCTCCCACGGAGACCGCCGCAGCCTGCCGTTGATTCACCATGGGTCATGAATTTTGGTCGAATGATCGTGAAAAACCCGCAGTTTTGGCCACTAAAAAAGTGGGGTAAATGATGATAAGCCTTGGGATTAAACTAGGGTGCCTTAGTTCCAGACACACTCACACCTCTGCTAAATTGTGATCTTTGACCACGGTATAGGGATACGAGGTGGGCCATTCCATAGGTAAGAGCAAAACTCAGGTCACATGTCCAAGTTGTGTTTTCACAGAGGCCGACTTTTTTGAGCGAAACCAGCAGCACAGGTCCAAAGAAGTGAAACCTCTTGAAGATCTGCTGCAAGTGAAAGCGGGTTCCATGCATCATGATTTGACCCATCATTCCAGTGTTAGGCCGCCTAATTAAGAGTGATTGAAGTTGAATAAATCTGAGGTTTGATGATTATATGAAAAACGACATCAGCGTTTTTGCATGTTGTCTAAAACATGGGAACCCCTAACTTGGTTTTTCATCATTTTCCCCATGAGATTTTGAGGGCAGGTGGAGCCTGATCATGGACCCAGGCCAAGAGAACTGATCCATCTGAGTTCCCAGAGCCCATCAAACCTCACAAGCAGGCCGAAAAACTGGAGCCATGGGGCGGTCAGCCATGGGTGTGTCTGAAAATGGACCACAAATATATATATATATATACCCCCAGGCCCTTTTTTTTGAGGGAAACTGATGATTAGCCAATTGGATGATAGCAACGCATTTGAATTTAGGGGGCTGCCCATTTTCTGACACATGCGAATTCCCACGGACTCAACATTGACCGGACAGGATTCATGTGGGCATATTGCTGGGTTCATTTTCTAAGATAGTTACTATAGTTCGAGAAAATTTATTGTATTTTTTTGTTGGTAAATGTATCACAGAAGGTATGGGAAATAGGGGCGTCATCCACAAGGCTGGGAGCTTCTGAATTTGATTGCCAAAATTGCGGTCGAAACCCCATTGAAATTGAAACGGAATGCAAATTCTTGCTAATGTGGGCCACTCAAGAATGAACCTACCATTTGGGGATAGTTTATATCACCCATTTGTGGTGATTTGGGAGTTGGTTTATGCATGGGTTTGCCACAGTACTCAGATCGGAATTTTCTTCTCGAGTTGAAATCCATTTTCTACCTGAGGAAGCCGAACCTGCTGAGATCATTTTCTGATTGAACTTTGGTGATCTGCAAAATTGTCAGGCTTGACTACCCGCGAGTACATGGCTTTATATCCCCCCAAAAAATACCCTGTTTATTTCATGCTTACCCCACCCAATTCAGTATCTATGATCTGACAATTTGGGTAAACCACAGGCAAACCTCACAGGCAGACCTCCGATGATGGTTGCTAGAGGAATCATCCGAAGAATGGCCAACCTTTCACGTTTGTGAACTATCTATCAAGTTTTTCGCTGAATAAATCCTCAGTGTTCCACAAGTGTGTGCAATGATTGTTGGTTGATGAAGTGTTTTCTTAAATGGAAAACCCCCAAGCCCCCAAACCAACCTTTTTCCTATTGAAAATCATTGAAAACCGACATGTTTGGGTCATTTCGGGGTTCTCATTTCAAGAAACCCTGATGAGTAAGCATTGCTAATTAATTATTTACCATGTCATGAGTAACCCTCCATTAGTCATTATTATCCAGTATTGAAAATTATTTATCATTGTCAACCCACATCGACATACATTAACCATGATGTTTATCAGAATCTGGGAAAGGCTGCCCCGTTCCAGGCTCCCCCGACGGCTTCGCTTGAAAAAGCGCCTCCAGAACCCATCAAAAACCCTCCAGAACCTGTGAAGGCAAGGGTGGGCAATGGGGAGGAGTGGAAAACATTGGACAAGTAGCATGAAAGGTGATTTATCTCATCTATTCACAGGGCAATTTGATGTGTTTGGCTTCGATGTTGAATTGTCGCCATCTGAGCAACAAGAAACTGATATGTGACGGGATATGATCACCAGAATTGATAATCAAACCAAGAAGGCCAAGCAGCAAAAGAGTGGAAATCACCAGCAAGCACAGGCAAATGATCAACAAACAATTTGGTCAATGGATAAAGTCGAGGGTCATGATGTTCATGTCATCTCTGTCAGTTTGCACCGCAGGCAGACAAGCCAGGCAAGGGGGTGACGTCCTCAGGGTCAAGTAATGCCAATGTCTGCTAGATAACTAGCCAGCTAGAAGTCTTGATTTATAGGGGGTTTTCACTTGCCATGTTTGATGACACCGGAGGGTAACGACGTTTGCGCTTGCTAGAAATATGTACCAACTATGGGCGTGCAAGTCACAATAATTTTGCTGATTCAAACTCAGAACAGCACTGTTGCTGAGGATTCGGACGCCATATGAAGCCATGTTCTGGTTGATGGTGTCCAAAGATGCATAGAAGTACTCTTTGGAAATTAAACATACGGAAAAAATCCCACTTTTTCAAAGTTAAATCGCCCAACTAAATGTGCCATTTTCAGAGTTATGTTAAATTGCCAGAGGGTAAACTTGTTCAAAAAACGTTGGTGAATTACTCTGGTTATCCCCATTTGGATCACCATTTTTTGTTCAGAGATGCGTCCCATGGCGAGCACGGCCAAAAACCAAGGTTGGGGAGGACCCAGAAGAAGTGGTCAGATTCCCAGATGGTCAAGGTTGGAGAGGTCGGGAAAAAGGTTGTAAATATAACATTTTTCCGGAATATCCAGAAAATCTGATGTCCACAGCTATATCTTACATCTCTTTATGTTTTATTATATAGTTACAGTATGTTACAGTAGTTATAGTAATCCTAGAAAAGATAGAAAAATGAATTCGTACTAGAAAGGCGATGAAATACTGTTCTGTCTTTTGGGGACTACTATATTTTTTTTAAAGATGGATATGGTCAGGAACTACCCAGGAGTTATGTCGGATATCACCCATCCCCAGGCGCTGTTTGGCTCCGCGATCTATGACTCGCCAGTCTACAGCGAAGAAGAAATCTTCGGTTCTCCTCAGGTGTTCAAAACCACGGTTGGTTGATGACCAGTTCGCGAATTTCACCATCAACCGTCAAGTTTAGAGGGTTCACCAAAAAAACACATCTGAAATATGGATAGATATGAGGATACCATTGATTCGTGATGGTTGGTTGATGATTAGTTCGGGGATTATACCAGCCAAATCAAACCAATATATCACCATCCATGAATGGGGAATCCCATTTGCAACCAACCAGTGGGAAGAGATGACACTGGGTTTTGAGCAAGGCTCAAATGGCGAGCTTTTCCGAACATCGGCAGTTGACCAACAAGAACTCGTGGTTCTTTAAGGCCCAAAAAATGAGTAAAAGATGGGAAGAATAGTAACATATATACCAACCAAAGATCCAAAGATAGGGATACGACTGATGTTCAAAGGACTGGGCAGTTGTTACGAATGATTTGCACTTGACGCCCTGCTGCCAACCAGGAAATGGATGATGAAGATCCATCGAAACCAGGAACTGCCAAAGAGGTGAGGGACGTGCCGCTGTGTCAGGTTGGCTTCGGTTGTGGAAGATATTGACCGCTCATTGCCGTTTGGGTATGCTTCAAAATCTTTGACAATTGACCTCCATTTGGGGTTGGGTTTTTTGGGGGTTTCCTAAACTGATGGTACCCTAAAAGCCTTTCAATACTAAAATTGTCTAATTCCGGATGGCTTGGAGGTGCCCTAATTGACTTGAGCCATGCCTCGAAGCGAGGCGGAGACTCTGCCGTACGATGACATGGCTGCTACACAGTCCATGACTTGTGGGTTGTAAAAATGGGAGCATAAGTAATCAGCAAGTGATCAACCAACGAACTTCAGATATCTGGTCAATAACAGCTCAATATCAGATCAACATCAAGCAACTGACTCATTCAAAAATTAGGTCAAGTTGTGTTCCTGCCTTTTTTTACGCCTGAACTAAGGCCGTATGCTTCGCAGGCACGTTTTCCGCAACACGCAAGTTGAGATCCAATACGCCTGTCAACGGTTTCCAGATCTTGTTTGTCTATCAGAAAATAGAGGGATACCTGGATACCTCCAAAACAGCAAGTTTACTAAGGAATTTGATGAGCAACATTGGTTAACAATCTAATTAATTTCTAAAGGGGTTCACATAATTTTGAGATTTCAGATTTTGGTTCTGGAAAGCACGGCATCTTGCAAGGAGAGCCAAGATTCCCAGAAAGGAATGGATGCTACCCAGGCGTACCAGGACTGCCTACAAACATCAGATCCACCTCAGAATTATCAGTGCCATCAGAAATGCTAATCCTCATTTTCAGCACAGGACGAGCCTTTGCTGAAACGCCGACGATTGTCAGGCTGGAACCCAAGTTATTGGAAGAAGAGCGCAGGGTGACATTTTCACTGGTATATTTGCTGCGTGTTCAAATTGAGGAGACGAAATGCTACCATGAATCCAAAAAATATATTGATTGTATAGAATTATACTCAATTCAAAGAATTTAATGAATAACTGCTTGATACATAACTTAAATGAATGACATCAAATCCGCCCGCGGGTGTGGATCAGAAGCAATTGCAAGCACTTTGAGCTTTAGCTTCGGTAAAGCTTTTATGGACCCCAAAAAAACGGCACAACATTACCACGACATCGAATGGCAAAGGCTCGGCATGGACCAACCTGGGCGCAAGATGGGTTCAATATGGAAATGTTTTAACGTATCCTCCGGTAATTACACCAATGAAAAATTCCTTCAAATTTCAAATTTGGTTGCCAAAGGTAAATTTAATATAATCCAATCGAAATTGCTAAATTTCACAGAAATAACCAAAGCAAATATACCTAGGGTAAACTAGTATAGGTATGGAAATTTAACCATTTGAAACTAAAAGAAACTATGGGTTCTCTACATCTATGCTAGTTTACCCTAGGGTATGTCCTTATTTGTGTAAGGTAATCGGAATAGGAACGGGTCGGTTTCGAGTAGGAATATATCGATCCTACACAAAAGGAAAGAAACAAACGAAATATAAATTTATATATATATATGCAATTTTATCGCCAATATTTATTTTCTTCTATGGCAATGCAATATCTTTTCGATTGATAAGAATAGGTTTCCTAAAATAGTACTTAAAGTATTTTTAAAAAAAAAAATATTATATATATTTAGTTGATTCAAAAATTAGATTAACATATAATATTTATTAATATTATTTTATTTAAAAAATTATATAATTAAATTAAAAAAATAATTTTCGATTTATTATATTATTGATTTTAATGATACCCATATTTTGAGGATTATATGGAGGTATTGGTTTTTTCTGGGATTATTAGAAATTTAGATTTGATGGAATTGGGATTGGATTTATTTAATTTTTCTTGGTGGTGGTTAAATTATGGGGAAAAAAATTATTATTATTATTATTATTGAAATATTAAAATTAGAATTTTATTTTATTATAATTATATTATATATTAAGATTATAATTTTGATATTTGATATAATATTTTAATAATAAATTTATAAATTAAAAAAAAATAATTATAAATTAATTTATTTTATTTTATATTATTTATATTATGTTATATTATATGTATTTTATTATATATAATAATTAAGGGCAGGGATTTTTTATAATTATTTTAAAATATATATTGATGATTTATTAATGGATATATTTTATTATTTATATATATTTTTTGTAATTTATAATATTTTAGTATTGAAATCATTATTATTTTTATTTTCTAGATTATTTTTATTTTAAAAAAAATGATTTATTTTATTTATATAAATGTTTTTTGGATATTTGTTTAATATTGGGTATATATATTGTATATAATGTTAAGAAAAAATTAAATGGAATTTTATTAGTATATTTTGAAAATATTTTGGTAATGAAAATATATATTAATCGATGTGAATTTAAATTAGATTTGGTATTTTTAGATTTTTTTTATTTATTTAATTATTTTTTTTTTTAATATTATATATTTTTGAATAATATAATAATTTGACATTAAATATTGATTTGATTTTTTTGATATGATTGAATTAATATTATATATTTATTAGTTGAGTTTGAATATGCGTTTCCTGAATTTGGCGCGCTCGCGAACCTGGAGCCCAATTTGGCCAAAAATTTACCACTATTTTGGGATTTTCACCCCGAGCCCAATTTTCCCAGAAATCCGCCGTAATTTTGGAATTTTTCACGAATACAAACTTTGGGAATTTTCGTTTTGTGTTTCCGTTATTTTGAATTTACCGCATGCGACGGTCGCTCTCTTGAATTCACTATAGGGCTCACAGATATTTCAAACTTGCTGGCCGTGGGTACGAGTGTCTTTTTGGTACCGCTGACTTTGCATTGGAAAAAGGCCGCTGATATAGGCTCACCAAACTAGCGGAATGAAGTTGCACAACCAAACCAGCCGCATATTTTCATATAGCTACACATTTAGTCATTTAACCCTGTGGCGGTGCCCTCGGTATAGACCGCATGGCTGTTCACTGTTGCGCCCCAAGAATTACAAACCGCAATCTATAACGGCACGTCCTCAATTTATTACTACTGTACTCTACCTGTACACAAACCACTTCGGGGAGCAGCTTTCAGTAGCAACTTTCGGGAGCAGCTTTCGGGAGCCGCTTTGCAGAATAGATTTGGGGAGACGTTTTAGGGCATAGGTTTGAAAAATCGCAGCTTTCGGGCAATAGCTTTGGACAGCAGCTTTGGGCAGCAGCTTTGGCAAGATATCCGGAGCAACTTTCAGGAACAATTGCTTTGAAGAACAGCATTTTTCGGGGGCAGCTTTACAAACAACTTCGGGGAGCAGCTTTCAGTAGCAACTTTCGGGAGCAGCTTTCAGGAGCCGCTTTGCAGAATACCTTTGGGGAGCCGTTTTGGTGTATAGGTTTGAAGAGTTGCAGCTTTGGGGCAATAGCTTTGGAGAACAGCTTTGGGGCACAACTTTGTGGAGCAGCGCCGGGGAACAGCTTTGGGTGGCAGCTTTGGGGAGCAACTTTGGACAGCTTTCCAGACCAGCTGGCAGCTTCGGGCAGCAGCATTGGAGTTTTGGGGAGCTTCTTTGGGATGTTTTGGTAACAACTTTGAAGAGCAGCTTTGGGGAGCAATTGTGGGGAGCAACTTTGCGGCTTTGCAGCAGCATAGACTGACAGTTGCCTTGAAGAACGACAGCTTTGTGGAGTAGTTTTAACCAATCGCATATTTTCATATGGCTACATATTTAGTCATGTTAACCCTGTGGCGGTGCCCTCGGTGTAGACCGCATGGCTGTTCATTGTTGCGCCCCAGGAATTGCAAGCCGCAATCTATAATGGCAGGTCCTCAATTTATTACTACTCATATTACGATCTGCCTGTACACAAACCACTTCGGGGAGCAGCTTTCAGTAGCAACTTTCGGGAGCAGCTTTCGGGAGCCGCTTTGCAGAATAGCTTTAGGGATACGTTTTAGGGCATAGGTTTGCAAAATCGCAGCTTTCGGGCAATAGCTTTGGATAGCAGCTATGGGGAGCAGCTTTGGCAAGATGTCCGGAGCAACTTTCAGGAACAATTGCTTTGAAGAACAGCATTTTTGGGGGCCAGCTTTACAAACAACTCCGGGGAGCAGCTTTCAGTTGCAACTTTCGGGAGCAGCTTTCGGGAGCCGCTTTGCAGAATAGCTTTGGGGAGCCGTTTTGGTGTATACGTTTGAAGAGTTGCAGCTTTGGGGCAATAGCTTTGGACAGCAGCTTCTGGTAGCAACTTTGAGGCGCAGCTTTCGGGAGCCGCTTTGCAGAATGGCTTTGGGGAGCCGTTTTGGTGAGCGGGTTTGCAGAATCGCAGCTTTAGGGCAACAGCTTTGGAGAACAGCTTTGGGGCACAACTTTGGGGAGCAGCGCCGGGGAACAGCTTTGGGTAGCAGCTTTGGGGAGTAACTTTGGACAGCTTTCCAGACCAGCTGGCAGCTTCGGGCAGCAGCATTGGAGTTTTGGGGAGCTTCTTTGGACCTTTTGGTAGCAACTTTGAAGAGCAGCTTTGGGGAGCAACTGTGGGGAGCAACTTTGCGGCATTGCAGCAGCATAGACGGACAGCTGCTTTTTTTGACCGGCGCCCTGTGTCTTTCGGCAGGTCGCGGCACTTGAGACTTACTCGTCTACCACGTCACGATCGCGGCCCCGTACCCGGGGGGAATCGATCCGCGGCTAGCTGTGTATGCACGGTCCTGAGACGGGCACCACTACACGACGAGATCGCTTGCAGCATAGACGGACAGTTGCCTTGAAGAACGACAGCTTTGGGGAGTAGCCTTAGAAAACAACTTTGGGAAGCCGCTTTCGGAAGCAACTCTTGGGGGTAGGCTTAGCAACATTGGGGCGCAGCTTTCGGGAGCCGCTTTGCAGAATGGCTTTGGGGAGCCGTTTTGGTGAACAGGTTGACAGAATCGCAGCTTTAGGGCAACAGCTTTGGAGAACAGCTTTGGGGCACAACTTTGGGGAGCAGCGCCGGGGAACAGCTTTGGGTAGCAGCTTTGGGGAGTAACTTTGGACAGCTTTCCAGATCAGCTGGCAGCTTCGGGCAGCAGCATTGGAGTTTTGGGGAGCTTCTTTGGGACGTTTTGGTAGCAACTTTGAAGAGCAGCTTTGGGGAGCAACTGTGGGGAGCAACTTTGCGGCTTTGCAGCAGCATTGACGGACAGTTGCCTTGAAGAACGACAGCTTTGTGGAGTAGTTTTAACCAATCGCATATTTTCATATGGCTACATATTTAGTCATGTTAACCCTGTGGCGGTGCCCTCGGTATAGACCGCATGGCTGTTCATTGTTGCGCCCCAGGAATTGCAAGCCGCAATCTATAACGGCAGGTCCTCAATTTATCACTACTAATATTACGATCTGCCTGTACACAAACCACTTCGGGGAGCAGCTTTCAGTAGCAACTTTCGGGAGCCGCTTTGCAGAATAGCTTTAGGAATACGTTTTAGGGCATAGGTTTGCAAAATCGCAGCTTTCGGGCAATAGCTTTGGACAGCAGCTTTGGCAAGATGTCCGGAGCAACTTTCAGGAACAATTGCTTTGAAGAACAGCATCTTTCGGGGCCAGCTTTACAAACAACTCCGGGGAGCAGCTTTCAGTTGCAACTTTCGGGAGCAGCTTTCGGGAGCCGCTTTGCAGAATAGCTTTGGGGAGCCGTTTTGGTGTATAGGTTTGAAGAGTTGCAGCTTTGGGGCAATAGCTTTGGACAGCAGCTTCTGGTAGCAACTTTGAGGCGCAGCTTTCGGGAGCCGCTTTGCAGAATGGCTTTGGGGAGCCGTTTTGGTGAGCGGGTTTGCAGAATCGCAGCTTTAGGGCAACAGCTTTGGAGAACAGCTTTGGGGCACAACTTTGGGGAGCAGCGCCGGGGAACAGCTTTGGCTTTGTGGAGTAACTTTGGACAGCTTTCCAGACCA